TCCTTTTTTTTTTTTTTGTTTGTTTTTTTTTTTTTTTTTGTTTTTTGTTTTTTACCCACAAGTACAGATGACGACTGACAGAACCCTTTCTACAGTTTTGGATAATGATGTTTGTGTTCAATGTATTTGGGAGTCTGTGCTTCTGCAAGTGCTGCTGTTTTGCTCAGCAACAAGAGTTTCAATGGCCGTGGCGATGGTGTCTTTCATTTGGAATAAAATGAGTTCCTCTTATTCTTATCTAGAATCCATCATATATATTTTTATCCATCCATCCCCAGATACTTTTTATTTATTGATTCATATATGCTCTCATTATCCTATATAATTCATGATTACGTATTCAGAGTCAAAAGCAATTTATGAATGAATGGCTTTTTCATTCATATGTTATTCATACATTTTTATGAATTACTTTTTAGTGAACTGATCATTTATTATTTTAGGATTATTATCCAATTTCCAAACAGGTCAGCGTTTGGTTGGGAATATGAAGTGAGGTCGTGACACTCGCCACCTTCCGACCTGGTTTTTGTTTTTTTCTTTCTGGGGAAGAGCAACGTTCAAAAGGATGCTTTTACTTGACGTTTATAAAATAATAAATCAAAACCCTCAACCACCCCCCCGCACCCCTCCCTTTAAACCCCTTAATATGGTAGTCGAGTCACTTGCTAGCTGACATCTCTGGAAGGACAGTTCCTCATGTCACAATCCAGCATTGTCCTGCGGGTCAACCAAACAAGACTCGCTCTGTTACGCACGCACGCACAAACACACACATGCATACACACACACATACGCACGCACCCAGTGTAGAGGCTTCAGTGAGCATGGGAAGCGGAAGCTCGGCGAGTCGCTCTGCTCCGAGGCCGAGTTGTGTTCAATGAGACGAGAGGCCGCGTGACTGACGATGGCCGTGCGTGTTTGCGTGTTGATGAACTTGTACTGCCTGGGTGCACGTCAACAGTGAAGCGGGCGCCAACAGAGAACTAACGCGACAAAAAGAAAAGACACTTTGTTGAACGCCTGAAAACCAAACATGACAATGGTCAAAGTCAACAGGATTGTTGCCATGACACAAAAACTTGCGAGCTCGTCACAACGTGGCCTCATGTGCCTTCTGTCATACTGTATGTCAGTCAAACTCAAAACCCGATCGGGTCCTTGTCCACTTGCGTCCGACTTGTCGAGTGAGCTCACCGCCGCGTTTGGGTGTCGCGTGGAGCGTCGCCGAACGTTACCCATGATGCTATATTTAGAACACTGCAGTGTGTGACTCAGCGCTCGCTGCCCGCCTGCCCGCTCGCCTGGCTGGAAGATGATGATGATGGCGATGATGTCATCATGAATTCCGTTGTCACGGTGACACACTTCATTCTTGATGGGGAATACATCGCTCTCATTGTTGTGTAAGGGTATGTGAGTCGATTCGAGGTACTGCATGTGTGTTTGTGTGTCGGTTCGTGTGGAGACGTATGATGCAGTTGTGCCCACGTGTTTAAAACAGCCGCCCCCAAGTGTGTGAATCACACATCTGTCAAAATACCCCAAGATCAGTGATGAGTTATGACAACCAAAGGGGCGGAGCTAAGGCGACGAGATTCAGACAGTGTTTTCAAATCAACCAAAAAAAAAATAAAAAATTTCCCCGTTGGACGCAGCACTTCATTATCATACCAAGTTACATTTACATATTGCACAATTGGCTACTTTGGCAAAAGAGATGAAATGACTGAAAAAATGCCTGGTTATCATGACCAACATGATCACAATTATGGCAGAATGATCACAAATTGTCCTGCGAGAGGCTAACGCTAACGTATTTTCACTCGTGCGCACTCTGCATAAAAGTGACGCTCAGTGTGTTTTTTTCGATTAATACGATTGGTTGGCCTTTGGTGCTAACTGACCGCATTCGCCTCCCTCTAGGAAATGCTTGGTAGTTTTTCGGGGGGGCTATTGTTGCCAAGGCAACAGGAGCTTGGGTGGAGAAATGTAATGTGACAGGAAGTGACCGCCCCATGACCCCTCAAACTGAAGTCAGTGTGTGCGAGTGCGTGTGAGAGAGGACCCTTCGACAGCGCAGTGTGGCTTTTCTCCCACAACAGCCCATTAAAATGATGGTGTATTGTTTTGTTTAAGAAAAAAAAAGTGTCAATCATGACCAGAAAATGACAATTATTTCATGTCTCAAATCGTACAAAGACGAAATGCGACATTTCCAGGTCAAGGTCAAAGCAAAAGATCAAACAGAGCAAACTGAAAAATAAAAATTGAAAATGTTCTCTATCCGAAGGATTAAAAACTTGTTGGGGAGCCAATTTGTTTAATTTGGTTGTTTAGTGTTGCAGGATCTTGAATTTTAGGCGATCTGCTTGAGTCCGTTAACGCACATGACAGGGTAAAACATCATTTTGCCACAAAGCACATCGAGTCGCACCTCAAATTAACGAGCTCAAATGAGGGCTTTCCCAATCTGTCGACTCGGGGGTGGGGATTGTGTGTGTGTGTGTGTGGGGGGGGGGTCAAATTTTAATTGGTTTCATAGAAATGGGGTATGTGCCCCCCGTGTCTGTGATAGATGTGTCCGTCTGCGGAGGCTTCCGTGCGTTCTCGAGTGGGAATGTGTGCCTCATGAATAATTCCGCCTCATCCAGGTCTCGCTGGTCTCATTAACATGGCTATCCTTCGGTTAGCATAGCTAGCTAGCCTTCCTTTTTTTTTTTTTGTCTCCTGGTTGCTGCTGTGTCACCGTGAGAGATGGAAGCACTGCAGACGGCTGTAACCACGGTAACAGAGGCCTTACTTGCTCTGACGTTAACCCTGATGCTTCCGATTTCCTTGTTTGAACCAGAAATACAACACAGTAAACCCTTGGTAAGAGCTTCTCGCCAATCAATACCCCGAACTGTGATCCCAATTAACAAAAACAAAACAAAAAAAACAACATAGAAAGAGTTACATAAACTAGAACAAAACTGATTAAAATGAAAGAAAATCATCCATCGAATTACAGCAAGAAACGAACTAAAAATTGACAAAATGAAAAATTGAAATAAGAAGGGCGAGCTTTTTATTTTGTTTAAGATCAGTCAAATCAAATGTCAATTATGAGTAGGTTGGTTGGTTCGAGAAAACACGATTTTTCCTGATGATTACTTTTATCCCCATAATCCAGAAACAATCGACGCCCCTAAATAGATTCAGAATTGCCCGTCGATGCCACCAGATCGCGGCAAACCACTACTTTTGTCACAATGAATTCCTTCAACGTTTGTCTTCCCTCGGCACGCAGATGCCGCAGGTGCCAAAGCAAGTCTTCTTGTGACTTTTGTGCGCAGTCACGTCATCTACAAACATTATTTTTAATGCACGATGTGGTATGCCTTGGCCCCCCCCCCCCAACAGTGCTTCAAACGGCTCGGATTCTTCATTACAACTCAATTACACGCACTCTCTGATCATCAAAGGTCATTAGAACATGATAACATAGAACACGAGCACACACATTGCTGCATTCCAGATGTGCGGCGTGTGCGTGTGTGTTTGTGTGTGCGCGCGCGTGCGCGTGTGCATCTCCTCATCTTGTTGTTGATCTCCCGCTGACTTTGAAAGGCATGTTAATGGCAGCCAAACAGGAAGAGGACCATCATCAACCAGAGCCAGAGATCAAACGTATTCAACACACGCACACGCACACGCGGCAGTCGCTGCAGCACTGTGCTTGTTTTTTTTTTCCCGAAGCTTTTTTTTTTTTTTTTTTTTGAGCTCATTAAAATGTGTGAGACAAGCCCTCTCGTTTCCTCCTGCCCGGTTTCCGCTTCTGCTCCTTCTTCTTTTTCTTCTTCTGCCATTTTTCATTTTGGCGTTGTTCTTCTCTTTGCCACTCCTCTCTTTTTTTTTCCTCATCTACACTGACGTCATCATCACCATGAACATTGACGTTCTATTTCCAAATACTTGCCCGATTGGTATACGCGCGTACGTGTGTGTATATTTGTGTGTGTGTGTGTGTGTGTGTGTGTGTGTGTGTGTGTGTGTGTGTGTGTGTGTGTGTGTGTGTGTGTGTGTGTGTGTTTGGTGGCTCGACTTTATTGAATGGTTGCCGGGTAGATCAGGAGGTGCAAGGGAGGAATTTGTTCATTATGAATGGAGCACTTTTCTGTGGATCACAACAACACTGTGTGTGTGTGTGTGTGTGTGTGTGTGTGTGTGTGTGTGTGTGTGTGTGTGTGTGTGTGAGAGAGAGCGAGAGAGAGAGAGAGAGAGAGAGAGAGAGAGATAAAACGAGAGGGTCTGAAGAGGTTCTTGTCCATCTTGTCTATGAAATTGGGTTTTGCAAACCAGCAGAGCTGAACGTCCCATTTTTGGAGGGAATGAACTTTTCAAGAAGTGCAGAATGTAACTTTGAAGTTCAAATACATTTGCATTTCATGTTTAAGAACTATGCATCAAGTTGCGATACTGTTCAATATCCGTTTTGGGTTTTCAGCTCCCGCCTCTTACCTACTGCGCTGGCTGCTGTCGTTTGCTGGGCCAACATTGTGCCGGCACCCGGCAAGCCAAGCATTTGAAATATAAAGTCCTCAAAGGCCGCTGCGGCTAATGCGGCTCTCATCTCGCTCACTCGTCAGGTTTGGACGGCGGCAACGCTCGCGGGGAGGGAATCCCACTTGATTGCCAACTTTTTCCACTGTGTACATGAGCAAGCGGCAGCACGAGCCAGGACTCGGGCCTGCTGGGGCCTTTGACTGGACTCGCGGCACCTTGTTTGGGAAACGCGCGCGCTCGCCGACCATCACTCAAAGTGCACCAGTCGACTTTTTCCACGCCGCCTCCAGAAATAGACACCCATGTTTATGTTAGCAAGTTAGCCGCTATTATGCACGCGAGCTTGCTCGCGCGCACACGCACACACACAAATCCTTCTGCTACCACCGAGTACGATGACAACTCACTGTTGCATTTTCCTTCTGCTACTTGACTACTTCTTGTGCTAATCCACTGAAACAAGTTTGGGTGGAATCTTCTTCTTTTTATTTTGTCAAGTGGTTGCAGGAAATAAAATCCAGTATCCAGATCAAAAAAATGTTTTGGTGACCACTTGACAAAATAAAATGGAGTAAACTCAACACAGCGCTGGGTTTTATTCAGCGCACTTTATCTCGTACTTTTTTTTCTGCTACCCCCTCTCCTAGTCCAATCTCTGTTTTTGAGTACTACTCCAGCTATGACTGCACTGGAAAAAAAATGGTGTGTTGAATTTATTGGATTTTATTTCATCAAGCGCTGCACAAAATAAACTCAACTGGATCCAAATACATTTTTTAAGTTGATATGAAAAAAAAATCTCAGATGATTTTATTTCCGGCAACCACATGACATCATAAAATATTATTTTCAGCGTACTACTGTACTTTGACTCCTTTCTATTTCGATTACTGATTAGTATTTCTCCTTTTGCAACGGCTCCTTCGACTAATACGGCAAAAACTTTTTCCATGTCGATGAATAAAAACATGAGTGCACAGTAACTTTGCGACAAGCGCTGCAACGGGGTTTGGACTGCCACAGTACTCGTGAGTCTGAGTACCACCCGTGAGTACTAGCATGTGATGCGATGGTCTTCCCGTCTCCAGGGGCAACCAGAGACATCGGCTCGGCTCTGACCAGGATGTGCATGAGGCATCGCAGCATCGAGGCCAAACTCCGACAGTTCACCAAGTAAGCTACTACGATTACTACTCAGTACTTTTACTGGTACTGAGTACTACTACGACAACTCCTACTGAAAACTACAACTACTCTTGAGTACAGCCATTGCTACTACTGTTATTGAGTACGAATAATCCAAAGACTCATGAGTGCTAGCAGTGAATACGACAACAACGACAACCGAATAGTCTTGCTTCTACAACAACTTGGTATTCGAGTTCCTACTTCCACTACTACTACTTCCGAAGACAACAGTCACGACTTCCACTTCTGAGTACTACAACGATCACTACTGCTTACTATTACCCCATCTGCTACTGAGTATTTCTACTAAGTACTACTACTATGGAGTACTTCTCCTTCTCCTCCAACACAAGTGGATGTGTTTTGTTTCCTCCCTCCCCCACCCCCAACCAGCGCGCTGATGGAGAGCCTCATCATGCCTCTGCAGGACAAGATTGAAGACTGGAAGAAGACGGCCAACCAACTGGACAAGGACCACGCCAAAGGTACCCGTGCGCAAAGTCAAGGCACGCGTGAAGCTGCGGCGGCTCAGTAAATGCCCTCGGCGCGCATCGTAAGGGATCGGATTCCCTCCAGCGTCTGTAGAGGCCGCGAGCCGTCAAGTAAATGTTGTATTTATTATTGTGGGATGATCTCCCCGCATGTTCTCAACTCCTGTTTTGCAATTCACGCGTGATCCGGCGTGTTCGCCAGAGTACAAGCGGTCGCGACACGAGATCAAGAAGAAGTCGTCGGACACCATGAAGCTCCAGAAGAAAGCTCGCAAAGGTGAGATTGAGATTGCAGGAGGAGGGTCATTAGAGATTGCGAATCACGTGGAGGTCAAGGGAAACGTTGCGCTCCGGAATTGTGGATTCCACTGCAGTTAGGCTTTGTTTCTTTTGTGAATGAGTTTTTTCTGTTCAAAATTCAATCGCTTCAATAGGAATAATTTTTTGAAAGGGACAACTGCGTTCGGGTAAACTATTTCTAATTCTCCTCATTAAGATTATCAGTAGAAATAGTTGAGTCATTGTTGAATATAATCATGGTGAAAATAATGATTTTGATATTTTTTTTCCTCAAACAAATAAGAAGAAACAATGCGACGCATGTAGACAAAACAAACTCATTATTTCATTTTAATATATTCTTAACGTACCCATCTGAGTCCCTTCTTTTTTTTTCGAACGAAACAATGCCCGCCCCTTCGCGTGAGTCATCAAGGACGCTCTCCTGTCAAGTGTCGACTAGAAGACGTAGTTAGATGGCGACATCTGGTGGCCATCAGAGTTGCTTTTTTTTTCTCCTCCTCCGCACTCATTGTTTTGCTTGTCAGTTGCCAGGCAGAGAACAAGCCCCCAGCCCAAACAAATATGAGAATTGTGACCTGTCGATTGATGTTTTTTTTTTCTATGTCTGCTTTCTTGTTATGTTGGCTGACTAACACTTAAATGACAGATTGTGCTCCCTTTTTTTTCTCCCACTTTGCCGCTCCCCAACAACCCCAACACACCCCAACCACACGCGCACACGCCTCTGGCTGGCCTCTAATAGAGATCCAGGGTAAGTGCGTGGGCCTCGTACCTTTTCCCACATCCATGAACAACACACGCACGTACTCACGGACAGAAAGGACGACACATTGACAAATCGACTTTCACGATGCATGCCAAAGCTCACTTCATGTATTTTTTCCAGCTTCCCATTTTGCATGCACCTCGCCCATCTTGTCACATCTTCAACTTGTCTCCATTTCACTGACTCAGCTGGTAGAGCAGCTTCGGCTTGAGGCCCGTTGGGACTCGTCGCGGCCTCCGTGACATCTGCATGCGCTCGCCGCTTCATCCTGATGCGCTGCCGGCCGGAACCTCCAAAGTTCTTATACTCAGTTGATCATCAAGAGAGCTAGTTTCACATCAATTAAGGGGACGAATCCAGCACCCACTTTGACTTTGGAGATTCCGCTGTTAGCAGCGACCGTTCACGTTAGCGACCGTCCACGTTTGCGCCACGCTGCGCGTGCCTCAGATACGATCGGCCCTTTCTGCTCTCGTCTGAATGGTGGCCCATCTGTCGTTTTTTTGCCTTCGTCAGGGCGCGGCGACCTGCAGCCTCAGCTGGACAGTGCCATGCAGGATGTGACCGACATGTGTCTGCTGATGGAGGAGATGGAGAAGCAGGCGGTGCGGCGGGCCCTGGTGGAGGAAAGAGGAAGATTCTGCACCTTCAGCGCATTCCTGCAGCCCGTCGTGGTCAGTGACGCCGTTTTTCTAGACGCGTATAGATGGATGTGTGTGTGTGTGTGTGTGTGTGTGTGTGTGTGAGGTACTGTGACGCTGTCCGTGTCTGTTGTCAGAATGGTGAGATTGCCATGTTGGGGGAGATCACACACCTGCAGGCCATCATTGATGACATAACAGTGCTGACCACAGACCCACACAAGCTGCCCCCTGCCAGTGAACAGGTGACACACACACACACACGCACACACACACACACACACAAAACGTGCAAACTCAAGGCATGCACGCACACAGAGCACTGAAGTGTGTGTGTGTGTGTGTGTGTGTGTGTGTGTGTGTGTGTGTGTGTGTGTGCGCGTGTGTGTGTATGTGTGTGTGCGCCCGCGTGTGTCTTCAGGTGATCAAGGACCTCAAGGGGTCAGACTACAGCTGGTCCTATCAGACTCCGCCCTCTTCGCCCAGCAGCTCCAGCTCACGCAAAAGCAGCATGTGCAGGTACGCATATGCGCGTGCGCGCGCACACACACACACACACACACGTGCACGAACGTTCAACATTTTCAAACCAACCTCAGACAAAATCCGCAGAGGTGATCAATCCTGACATGGTTCAAATAAAAACAACTGAGGTGATGAATTTTGACATCTCAATCTGTTGAAAGAGGCGCTATGTGTGACCATGCCCTTGACTTGACCATGAGCACTCATGTATGTATTTGTGTGTGTGTATGTGCGTGCGTGCGCGTGTGTGTGTGTGTGTGTGTGTGTGTGTGTGTGTGTGTGTGTGTGTGTGTGTGTGTGTGTGTGTGTGTGTGTGTGTGTGAGCATCGACAAGCATCAGAGCATTTTAGTGTTTATCCGAGTGCGTTGTAATTATGTCTTCATTCGAACGGTAAATTCTCAGTCATGAGACGTAAACGTGTGTTGCGGTGCGTAACATTCTCTAGGTGTGTTGTCGTGTGTCCAAATGCATAAGTGTGAATTAGTTTGTGCCCCCGCGCTCGATGGCCCTTTTCCACTGCGCTTGTGCTCGTGCTAGTTCCGGGCCAGCGCCCAGGTTAGCACCAGTTCTTTCTTTTTCCACCACCGAAATTGGCTCCAGCTCTGGCGCTTGAAACTGGTGCTTAAACTGGCCCCAACTATTTGTCGGGCCAGACCCTGGCACCAACTTGTTATCATGACGATGGCGGATGGAGAGGAACGACTTCCTGGACGCACAGAAGTGTTGAGCGGTGAATTCCGGCACAATCGTTGTCCCGCCAGAAGAGCGATGGCGGATGTGCCCGAGCACGTGATCTCCGACTGGCGGCCAGCCTCGCGATCATCTCCAATGACTCAGAAAAATCGAAGCGTTTGCTGATTGCAGGAACTTGTTAAGCACCAACTAAGCACAACCCTGGCCCCGGGGTGGAAAAGGCGGATGACTGTGTCAGTGTCTGTGTTGTTGTGTTGTGTCTCGGTGTGTGTTACTTTGTCTTTGTGAGGGTCTCGTTTTATCAGCGCAGGCAAACGTGTGTTCCTGTTTTGTTTGACCGTGTACCCTTTTGTGTTTGTGTTACCTTGATGCTCCTGAGCTGATGCACCCCCTCCCCCATTTTCTCCTCTGTTCCCCACACTTACATGCCCAAACACACACACACTCACACCACCGTGGTCTCGCTCCTTTGCTTGTGTGTCTCTCTGTGTGTACTTTGTGTGATTGTTGTGCTCGTTGCCCTCTTTCTGGCTTGTGCTTCTTGAACGCCGACTGCCACGCCACCTCCACGCATTTGACAATCATCAATATGGCCATCTCACACACACACACAC